GTGCAGGTGAACATCTGCTTGATGTGGAAAGTCTTCTTGGGGCCTGGGATGGGGGTGAGGGAGGAGGTATGGGGGCAGGTGTAGCACTTCCTGTGGTTGCAGGGAAAAGTGCCGGGTGTGGTGGAGCTGGAGGGGAGTGTGGAGCAGACAAGGTACTGAACTATGATTGAGGCCCATGGCCGCACAAGGACTAGCTGCCAAGACCTGTAGGACAATCAGATACCAGCAGCTCCTCTTTTCTGGCATCACCAATAGGATCAATGGCCACTGGTAAAATTACACCCACCATAAGACCATAAGAAATCAGAGCAGGAGGAGGCTGTTCAATCTCTTGAGCCTGCTCTGCCATTCAATGGGATCATGGCTGATCTGATGTTCCTCAAGCCTTTCCACCTTAATGCTTCATTCTCCTGCTAATCAAGAATCTATCTATCTCAGCTTTAAATATGCACAAGAGTTCAAGCCCCATATTTCTCTGTGGCAAGGAGTTCCAGACACTGACAACTCTATGAGAGAAGAAACTCCTCCTCATCTTAGTCTCAAATTGGCACCCTTTGCTCTGAGACTATGCCCTCTGCTTTGAGACTCTCCTTTGAGGGGAAACATCCGCTCAGCATTTACCCTGTCAAGCCCCTTAAGGATCCTATATGTTTCAACAAGATGATCTCTCATTCTTCTAAATTCCAGTAGGTAGAGTCTCAACATGTTTCACCTTTGCTCATAAGAAAATTCCTCCATAACAGTGATCATTTTCAGTGAACCTTCTCTAAACTGCTCGAGACCAAGGATCATAGAGGGTTAACAGACCAGAGCATGTGAAGGTAGGTTACAGGTTGCGGGAGAGGGAGGCTGGAGACAAAGGTAAGTATTTGAGGTTTTAGCAAGATTTGTAGCTTGGGTTGTGGGTGAGGTTGTTGACTTGCTCGGGGAGCTGGCTTGTTTTTGTTCAGATGTTTCGTCACCATGCTAGTTAACATCATCAGTTCAGAAACATCTGAACGAAAACAAGTCAGCTCGGCGAGCAAGTCAACAACCTCACAAAGGTAAGTAAGTGGGTTCTTCAGCATCCAACCTCTTCCTGATGCTGCATCACTTGATCAGGGAGAGTGCCTGATAGTGAGAGATCAATTCATCTCCATTAAACTAGCCCCACCCCATGAAGCATTTGACAAATCCAACAAGTTTTGTTGCGTGGCTTTTTGAGGAGCTAGAAGATCCATATGACCTTCACTTAATTCTTGAGCCTCCACCAAATTATGGTACGATTATGAGCATTACAGTGCAATACTAGAGTACATATATTACTGTCGGTGAGAGTTAATTGTTAAACCAAATTCTGTGTAATCATGCAATGACAGATCACATGAAAAATTATCGACCATCAAGATTCATTGGTGGGAACTTTATTGGAGAAAATTATTTCATTAAAAACTAAAATTATCACACCTATAATACATTTAATTCTGCTTCTGCAAACATATTTATTTATTTTTAGATAGTAGTGGTTTAGTAGCTTACCTGGAATGTGTGTTTATCAATAAAAGTCAGGATGAAATCACATAGTCCTAACATATTCCAGCTGTTAAGATGTTTACCACATGTTTAGGGCATACTCAATGTAAACTTCATTATCTGTAAAATTATAGTTAATTTTTAATGGTTCTTGGCTATTTGCATCCAGATCACCTGTATAAAAGCAAACAGTGAACCCTATAATTTATTTCCTGTCTAACCGTCTCCCAGCAAAGGTCTCAGTAAGTGTAAAGAAATTTGTTGCAAATTTAGAAGTTAAACTCATAAGATTAACTCATGTGGTTCATCCTCTTGCAGGTTTTCCATCATGAAGTTCAACACCCAGTTCATAACGTTTACAGTTATTCTGCTGTCTATTCAAAGTTTTACTTTGGATGCTGCGGACTTACTGCTCTACGAAAACATCCAACTTAAAGTAGCTAATGCTGAAATGGTACATCAAAACCAAGTGAGCAACATCATAAATTTGAGAGATCTGCTTCTGAAAAAAGGTAAGCTGTTTGAATAATATTTCTTCTGAAAACTTTGGTGTGAATATAATAGGTTTCCCTCAATTGTATACACTTCGATTTTAAAAGATGTACTCAGTATGGGGCAATCTTACACTTGCGTCCTAGACATTACCTTCAAGCATTCCTCTGTCTTGTATGGGGCAGCTAAGTGAATATTTCTATGTTCTGCCTTAATCAGATCAGGAAGGAACTGATTAATGTTCACCATGCATTTATCAGAATACATTTTCCACCTTGTAAACTCTTTACAGGCTTTGTGGTATAAATGTTAAGATAGAGCAATTGTGTTAACTATCATATAACTATATTGGCTTTCAAGGAGATATCACAATTGAGAGCAAACGGTATTTTTATTTTAATTTTTATTTTAAAGCATTTCATTATATGATTTGAATAACACAAATTAGAATTTGGACAACTACCTGGTGAGCGATTTCAAATCAAATCATCAGGAAGTATGCCAACTAGGATTTCAGTTTGCCCTGTCCACAGAATCATGTTTGAAATGGTTTTTCCTTACCAAATCTAAATATTAAACAAAAAAGCTCTGTATACTGCCCCTGGAAGCATACAGATTTTGAGATTACTAAATAGAGCAATTGAGAGAGTGAGACTGGATAGACAAGGTAGGGAGTCCCCTTGTCAACTTTTGTGTAAAGTTGTCACACTTAATTGCATAACAACACAGTATTTTGGCTGCAATCCTGTTGACAAAGGTACAAAAGTTTAAAATAAACAAGGTAAATCAAGGCAAGATGAATCATACCTTAGTATGCTGATTCAGCATATGACTAGGAGGACAAACGGAGTGTCGGTATTTACTGTAACAGAAACCAAGAATATAAGTTAGGAACTGCTGCAATAGCTACCCAGTGCCTATGTTAGACTATATCTGGAACAGTGTGTACAGTTAAGAAAGGATTTAAAAACATTTGAAACTGTTCAGAAAAATGTCACTTGCCTTACTGTTGGGATTGATAGGGTAGAGGCAGGTACAATTACAACATTTAAAAAACATTTGGACAGGTATAGGGATAGGAAAGTTTAGAGGGATATGGGCCAAATGCGCGAAAATGGGACTGATTCAGTTTAGGAAACCTGGTCCATAGACAAGTTGGGCCAAAGGGCCTTGTCCATGCTGTATGACTCTATAAAATTTGAGCAAATTGAGCCTACACACTAGAGGTTAGAAGAATGAGAAGTGATCTTATTGAAACATATAGAATCATTAGGGGACTTGAAAGGGTGAATATCGACAGGATGTTTTCCTTGGTGGGATAGTCTAGGACTAGGGGAGACAGTTTGAAAAATAGGAGTCTCCTATTTAAGTCAGAGATCTGGAGAATATTTTTCTCTCAGAATTAGTCTGTGGAATTATTTTCCCCAGAGAACAGTGAAGACTGGCTATTGAATAGATTCAAGGCTGATTTAGATAGATTTTTGATTGATCGTGGAGTTAAGGGTTTTCTTTTTGGGAGAGAGTCATCCAGGAAATTGGAGTTTTGTCCACAATCAGATTAGTCAAGGTTTGTCTAATGGCAGAGCAGAGCAGGCCCAAGGTGCTGAATGGCTTACTGCTTCTAATTCTTGTGATCTTGTGAAATTTCTTCTAGTCCTCAGCAATTGCGAATGTAAGAAATTAAGGGCATAGTGCGCACAATTTTCACCTTATTTTTGTCATTCTTTTTCATGGGATGTGGGCAAGACCAGCAATGGTTGACCATCCCTTTTTGTCCTTGAATTGAATAGCTTAATAGACCACTTCAGAGGACAGTTAAGGATCAACCACTTCGTGCGGATTTGGAGTCACATATAAGCTAGACCAGGTAATGATGCCAGACTTCCCTCGCTAAAGGACTTTAGTGAAGCAAAGAGTTTTTACACGAGAATTAATTATAGGTTCATAGTTATCATTAGAACATAGCACATAGAACTGTACAGCACAGGAATGGGCCCTTTGGCTCACGATGTTGTACCGAACGTGGTGCCAAATTAAACTAATCCCTTCTGCCTGCCCTTGGTCCATATCCCTCCATTCCTTGCACATTCATGTGCTTATCTAAAAGTCCCTTAAATGCCCCTATCGTATCTGCCTCCACCATCACCCCTGGCAGTGCGTTCCACACTCCTACCACTCTCTGTGTAAAAACATGACCCTCACATCTCCTTTGAACTTTCCCCCTCTCACCTTAAATGCTTGAACCCAGGTTTAGATTTTTCAACTCTGGGAAAAAGATTCTGACCGTCAACCCCATCTACGTATCTCATAATTTTATAGACTTCTATAAAGTCTTTCCTCACCCTCTGCCGCTCCAGAGAAAATAACCCAAGTTTTTCTAGCCTCTCCTTATAGCTCATACCCTCTAATCCAGGCAGCATTCTGGTAAACCTCTTCTGCACCCTCTCCTAAGCCTTCACATCCTTCTTGTAATATGGCGACCAGAATTGAATGCAATACTAAGTGTGGCCTAACCAAAGCCTTATAAAGCTGTAACATGACATCCTGATTCTAGTATTCAGTTCCCCTACCAATAAAGGCAAGGATGCCATACACCTTCTTTACCACGCTATCTACTTGCGTGGCCACTTTCAGGGAGCTATTGACTTGAACCCCCAGATCCCTCTGCACATCAATGCTGTTCAGGGTCCTGCCACTAACTGTATACTTTTCCTTAACATCTGATCTCCCAAAATGCAGAACCTCACCTGGATTAAACTCTATCTACCATTTCTCTGCCCATATCTGCAACTGATCTATGTCCCGCTGTATCCTTTGACAACCTTCTACACTACCCACAACTCCACCGATCGTTGTGTCATCTGCAATTTACTAACCTATCCATCTACATTTTCATCCAAGTCATTTATATATATCACAAACAGCAGAGGTCCCAGGATGTATCCCTAAGGAACACCACTAGCCACGGACCTCCAGCCAGAAAAAAGCCCTTCCACCACTATACTCTCCCTTCCATGGGCAAGCCAATTATGAATCCATGCGGCAAAATCAACTTGGATCCCATGCATCTTAATCTACTGTATGAGCCTGCCATTAGAGAACTTGTCGAAAGCCTTACTAAAATCCATGTAAACAACATCCACTGCTCGATCCTAATCGATCACCTTCGTCATTTTCCCAAGAACTTGAATCCAGTTAGTAAGATATGACCTGCCCTGTACAAAGCCATGCTGGCTGTCCCTAATTAGGCCATGAACAAGAACAAAGAACAAAGAAAATTACAGCACAGGAACAGGCCCTACAGCCCTACAAGCCAGTGCCAATCCATATCCTCTATCTAAACCTGTCGCCTATTTTCCAAGGATCTGTATCCCTCTGCTCCCTGCCCATTCATGTATCTGTCTAGATATATCTTAAATGACGCTATCGTGCCTGCCTCTACCACATCCGCTGGGAACGCGTTCCAGGCACCCATGACACTCTGTGTAAAGAACTTTCCACGCATATCTCCCTTAAACTTTTCCCCTCTCACCTTGAAATCATGACCCCTAGTAATTGAGTCCCCCACTCTGGGAAAAAGCTTCTTGCTATCCACCCTGTCTATACCTCTCATGATTTTGTAGACCTCAATCGGGTCCCCCCTCAACCTTCGTCTTTCTAATGTAAATAATCCCAATCTACTCAACCTCTCTTCATAGCTAGCACCCTCCATACCAGGCAACATCCTGGTGAACCTCCTCTGCACCCTCTCCAAAGCATCCACATCCTTTTGGTAACGTGCCGAACAGAACTGTACGCAGTATTCCAAATGTGGTTGAACCAAACTCCTATACAACTGTAACATGACCTGCCAACTCTTGTCCTCAATACCCCGTCCGATGAATGAAAGCATGCCGTATGCCTTCTTGACCACTCTATCGACCTGCGTTGCCACCTTCAGGGTACAATAGACCTGAACACCCAAATCTCTCTGTGCATCAATTTTCCCCAGGGCTTTTCCATTTACCGTATTGTTCGCTCTTGAATTGGATCTTCCAAAATGCATCACCTCGCATTTGCCTGGATTGAACTCCATCTGCCATTTCTCCGCCCAACTCTCCAATCTATCTGTATTCTGCTGCATTCTCCGACAGTCTCTTTCACTATCTGCTACTCCACCAATCTTAGCGTCATCTGCAAACTTGCTAATCAGACCATCTATACCTTCCTCCAGATCATTTATACATATCACAAACAACAGTGGTCCCAAGACGGATCCCTGTGAAACACCACTGGTCACAGTTCTCCATTTTGAGAAACTCCATTCCACTACAACTTTCTGTCTCCTGTTGCCCAGCCAGTTCTCTATCATTCTAGCTAGTACACCCTGGACCCCATGCGACTTCACTTTCTCCATCAGCCTACCATGGGAACCTTATCAAATGCCTACTGAAGTCCATGTATATGACATCCACAGCCCTTCCCTCATCTATCAACTTTGTCACTTTCTCAAAGAATTCTATCAAGTTGGTAAGACATGACCTTCCCTGCACAAAACCATGCTGCCTATCACTAATAAGCCCATTTTCTTTCAAATGTAAATAGATCCTATCCCTCAGCATCTTCTCCAGCAGCTTCCCAACCACTGACGTCAGGCTCACCGGTTTATAATTACCTAGATTATCCTTGCTACCCTTCTTAAACAAGGGGACAACATTAGCAATTCTCCAGTCCTCCGGGACCTCACCTGTGCTCAAGAATGCTGCAAAGATATCTGTTAAGGCCCCAGTTATTTCCTCTCTCGCTTCCCTCAGGAACCTGCGATAGATCCCAGCCGGACCTGGGGACTTGTCCACCCTAATGCCTTTTAGAATACCCAAAACTTCCCCCTCCTTATGCTGACTTGACCTTGAGTAATCAAACATCTATCCCTAACCTTAACATCCGTCATGTCCCTCTCCTCGGTGAATACCGATGCAAAGTACTCATTAAGAATTTCACTCATTTTCTCTGACTCCTCCCATAACTTCTCTCCTTTGTCCTTGAGTGGGCCAACCCTTTCCCTAGTTACCCTCTTGCTCCTTATGTACGAATAAAAGGCTTTGGGATTTTCCTTAACCCTGTTTGCCAAAGATATTTCATGACCCCTTTTAGCCCTCTTAATTCCTTGTTTCAGATTAGTCCTACTTTCCCGATATTCTTCCAAAGCTTCGTCTGTTTTCAGTCGCCTAGACCTTATGTATGCTTCGTTTTTCCTCTTTGCTAGTCTCACAATTTCACCTGTCATCCATGGTTCCCTAATCTTGCCCTTTTTATCCCTCATTTTCACAGGGACATGTCTGTCCTGCACTCTAATCAACCTCTCTTTAAAAGCCTCCCAAATATCAAATGTGGATTTACCCTCAAACGGCTGCTCCCAATCCACATTCCCCAGCTCCTGCTGAATTTTGCTATAGTTGGCCTTCCCCCAATTCAGCACACTTCCTTTAGGACCACTCTCGTCTTTGTCCATCAGTATTCTAAAACTTACGGAATTGTGATCACTATTCACAAAGTAATCCCCTACTGAAACTTCACCCACCTGGCCGGGCTCATTCCCCAAAACCAGGTCCAGTATGGCCCCTTCCCGAGTTGGACTATTTACATACTGCTCTAGAAAACCCTCCTGGATGGTCCTTACAAATTCTGCTCCATCTAAACCCCTAACACTAAGTGAATCCCAGTCAATGTTGGGAAAATTAAAATCTCCCATCACCACCACACTGTTGCTCCTACATCTTTCCATAATCTGTCTACATATTTGTACCTCTATCTCACGCTCGCTGTTGGGAGGCCTGTAGTACAGCCTCAACATTGTTACTGCACCCTTCCTATTTCTGAGCTCTGCCCATATTGCCTCACTGCTCGAGTCCTCCATAGTGCCCTCCTTCAGCACAGCTGTGATATCCTTTTTGACCAGTAATGCAACTCCCTTTTACCTCCCTCTCTATCCCGCCTGAAGCATCTATATCCTGGGATATTTAGTTGCCAATCTTGCCCTTCCCTCAACCAAGTCTCAGTAATAGCAATAACATCATACTCCCAGGTACTAATTCAAGCCCTAAGTTCATCTGCCTTACCTACTACACTTCTCACATTAACACAAATGCACCTCAGACCACCTGTCCCTTTGCGTTCATCATCTGCTCTCTGCCTACTCTTTCCCTTAGTCACACTGACTTCATTATCTAGTTCCTTACAGGCTTTAGTTACTACCTCCTTACTGTCCACTAACCTCCTCATTTGGTTCCCATCCCCCTACCACATTAGATTAAACCCTCCCCGACAGCGTTAGCAAAAGCAGCCCCTAGGACATTGGTTCCAGTCCTGCCCAGGTGTAGACCGTCCAATTTGTAATAGTCCCACCTCCCCCAGAACTGTTCCCAATGTCCCAAAAATCTGAACCCCTCCCTCCTGCACCATCTCTCACCCACTCATTTATCCTGCCTATTCTTTCATTTCTACTCTGACTAGCACGTGGCACTGGTAGCAATCCTGAGATTACTACCTCTGAGGTCCTACTTTTTAACTTGGCTCCTAACTGCCTAAATTCTGCTTGATGGACCTCATCCTGTTTTTTACCTATGTAATTGGTGCCTTTATGCACCATGACTGCTTTTCCAAATGTGCATAAATTCTATCCCTAAGAATTCTTTCCATTAGCTTCCCAACCACCAATGTGAGACTCACCAGTCTGTCGTTTCCTGGATTGTCCCTATTTCCCTTTTTGAACAGAGAATAAAATTAGTTACTTGCCAGTCCTCCAGGACCTCTCCAGTGGCTAGTGAGGATGAGCGTTCAATTCCAGATTTATTAATTGAAGTTAAATTCCACCAACTACTGTGGTATTTACCTGCACCTCTGATTACTAAGTCATTGTCCCCCCAATAAATGGTGGGCATAGTATTATACTAGGGTTAGACATGAAAAATGTTTCTAGATATGTAGTGACATTTTATATGTTACATATTTCAGTCTGATCGTGAAAAGTATGTCAAGAAGAACAGAAAAACAAGATCACTTTGTGTAGTAGCTAAGGTATTACCAGCAACAGGAAGTCTACAAACAAATCATCCCCAGTAGTTCGTGACTAATTGAACTAATCGAATGTGCCTTGGACTCTAATTATTTCCGTATCCTACATTACCCAATGTGATTCACATTTAATATGTTATAGTTGAGGTGTAGTCTCCTGGTTTGTAGGTAAATTGTAATAGTTTATTGGTGCACAACGAGGCCCCACAATTAACAAAATAAGATAAATTACTCAAAAGCAAAGTTCTGAAGAAGGGTTACTGGACCCAAAACATTAACTCTACTTTCCCTTCACAAATGCTGTCAGATCTGCTGAGTTTCTCTAGCAACTTCTGTTTCTGTTTCAGATAAATTACCAGTTTCGTTGATTGAGGGATTACAGTGGGAATAGTACAAATGGACTATTAAGTGCATTCTTCGTTGAAATTCAACTTTTGATTCAAGCTGCATCAAAAAAGAACAGTACTCCAAACAATATTAATCAATCAGCCTAGCTAATGGTTTGGAGCTTGGACCCATATCTTAGAAAGGGGGCATAATTTCAAACGAGCCAAGTTGATTGAATCTTGCTGGGCCCAACTGATGTCTATGTCTTGTGATAAGATCTAGAAGCCTTAACAAGATTGGTCAATTTATACTGTACAAAGTTCTATCTTGATTGAAAAATAATCATTGTATCTTATTAACGGTATAATGCTTCTGTCCTTATGAAAGAAATCAAATCAAATTTATCCTGAACAAATCTGAGAGTAATTACTGAATGAAATGAAATGCAATTAATTCTTCCAAATTAAAACACAGTATAATAGATAACATATTAGTTCTATAAATAGCATGCTTGATAGAAATAGTCATTCAGAAATTATATTTCTTACATTGGAGCATCTTTATTCGTAATGTAGTGCGATCTTCTTACATAGCTATCAAATAACTTTAAGACACAAGGTAAACTGTTGTATGAATATTCATGCAAAGATGTACATGAAAATATGCAGCAAACTAAATTAAATACTTATCATTGTAGCAACTTACTCAAGGGATTGCAATGAACTTCTTCAACGAGGATTCACTGATGACGGCCTCTACGTGATCCAACCAGATCCACTAAAGTTAACACCACCCCTTGTGGTGAACTGTAACATGAGTTATGACTGTAGCGGTGGGTGGACGGTGCTGCATCGAAACACCAGGCAGAGTGAGATGACATGGAATGAAACATGGACTGCATACAAGTATGGGTTCGGCAACATTCAGGGTGACCACTACATTGGCAATCAATATATGTACTACATAACCAGCCAGAAGTGGTATAAAGCAAGAGTAGTTATTGATGAGGAGAAAGATGGTTGGACTCAACAGAACTATGCTGAGTATGATATTTTCCGGTTGGGTAATGAGACCACAGGCTACAGGCTAGAACTTGGGGCATACAGGGGTGGTGCTGGAGATGCTTTGGCAGGTTATGAAAATATGGTTGATAATTTGCCATTTAGTTCGAGGGATAGTGACACAGATGGTGATGCAGCTAACTGTGCTTCCAAGTATGGTGGTGGGTGGTGGTTTGATACTTGCTCTACCAGAAGCCCCTTTGCCATGTTGACCCAGAAAGAGAAAATTCACTGGGAACCTTTCTGCAAAAACTGCAGGCATGCCGTTCTCATGGTCAAACCTGTCAATATGTACTGCCGCTCTGAAGAAATGACACGGCAGATTAGATACTAATTTTATTTCAAAATGAGAATGGTTCTTTGTGAAATCAGTTGCTGGAACAATATAGTTTAAATTGTGGATGTAGGAACTTTTGGTGTAGTTGAAAAATAAAATTCATTAAAGCACCCACATATTTTTTGGTTCCTGGAGATTATTTTAGCGAGCAATGCAAAAAATGGTGTATTGGTATCCTACTCTTATATGGACTCAGGCTAATAGGGCCACTTAATTTTCTTCATTGGTGGAAAACAGATAGCAAAGCTTGTCTGCCTGTTCTGCACTATGGAAAAGAATAAAATTACACAATGGCAATCTTATCCTAAGCAACATCACAGCAAATCTGCTGGCAATTGTCAAATAAAATGAAAGAAATCTGATTTTCCAATTTAACCCACAAAATAATGGAAAATATAAAAGTTCTATAGATAGCACCAACTAATGAATCATGTATCAATGCTGTGCATACTTGTTCAAATTACCTCAACATGCTGCTGGAAGTGCTAGCTGAGACCATGAATACAAATGTAAGTTCACTTTTTAAAACACTGTGCAGAGTTAGGAACAGCAAGAATGCTCCCTCTGAATCCCCAGGATTCCTCTCACCCTACCAGGATGTGCGGATGCCTCAATTGGCATTACAGCCACTCCAGGTCAGTGTAGGAGACACTGGGGAGCTTTCTTAGCACCAATACAATCCTCACTTAAAGTTGTGGTTGTGTCCTTGACAATCACAACTTTAAGTGAAATACTAAAACTGTAGATAGGGGTGGTTATCTCAATCGACTGGACAGATGATATGTGATGCACAGTATTGCCAACAACACAGGTTCAAGTCTTGGAATGGTGAAGTTCTTGCCTTCTCAACCTCATGCCCCACCTCCACTACCTGAGGTATGGTGACTCTGAGGTTAAACTCACCACCATCTTTCTCTTGAATGCGAGAGCAGCCTCTGGGACTATGGCAACTTTAGTTCTGTAGGTTATTCCTCATCAAAAATGAAACAGTATGCACTCCAAATTGAAGCTTTTTACTTTATCAAATGAAATATGTTTTGAAATGTTTTAAAATATTAAAGAAAAATGTAACTTGCTACTTATAGTGTCTTCTTTTCTCCAACAAACCTCATTCCCCAATTGCCTTTTTCTTGTTGCTGCAGACCTTTCCTGCTTCCTGACCCTCTGAGTTATGATCTATATCCACTCCCTGACCCTCTGAGTTATAGGGTAACCTCCAGCCTGCTCAATTCTCCCTCTTGCCACTTCCTTCTCCTAGAATTGAGAGGCAATGGCCAAGTAGTATTATTGCTGGACTGTTAGTCCAGAAGTCCAGCAATGTTTTGGGGACCGGGGTTCGAATCCCACCACAGCAGATGGTGGAGTTTGAATGCAACAAATATCTGGAATTAAGAGTCTAATGATGAATATTAGTTGTCAATTGTTAGAAAAAACCATCTGGTCCACTAATGTCCTTTAGGGAAGGAAACTGCCATCCCTACCTGGTCTGGCCGACACATGACTTCAGATCCCAGCAATGTGGTGGACTCTTAACTGCCCTCTGGGCAATTAGGGATGGACAATAAATGCTGGCCTAGCCAGAGATGCTCTCATCCCGTGAATGAATTTTTAAAAATTGGGTTCCGTTCAAGATCCAGATTTACTCCAAAGCTGGAGCTCGGATGATGTGGATGTCTGATTCCTGATGTTCAGTTCAGGAGTACTGGGACTTTTACAATCCACAACAAAAGCTGAAATTGCTGGAGAAACTCAGTAGGTCTGGCAGCTTCTATGGAGAGAAAGCAGGGGTGGCACAGGGGTTAGCACTGCTGCCTCACAGCCCCAGGCACCTGGGTTCAATTCCACCCTCGGGTGACTGCCCGTGTGGAGTTTGCACATTCTCCCCGTATCTGCGTGGGTTTCCTCCCACTGTCCAAAGATATGCAGGTTAGGTGAATTGGCTATGCTAAATTGCCCATAGTGTTTAGGGGTGTGTAGCTTGGGTGGGATGCTCCAAGGGTCAGTGTGGACTTGTTGGGCCGAAGGGCCTGTTTCCACACTGCACGGATTCTATGATTTTTGGGTCCAGTGGAAGCTGTTTCTGTGACTGGAGGCCAGTGTTCAATGGTGTGCTAAAGAGTTCGATGCTAGGTCCCTTATAGTTCATTATATATTTGCATATATAAACGATATAGAAGAAAATGTGATAAACATGTTTGCAGATGACATAAAGATTGGCAGGGTGGTTGACAGTGAGGAAGAAGGTTTTAAGTTACAGAAAGATATAAACAGATTGATACAATCGGCAGATCAGTGACAGATGGAATTTGACTTTGATAAGTGTTAGGTGATGCACTTTGGAAGAAGTAATAAGACAAGAGGGTGTCAATGAACGGTAGGTCAGTGCAGAAGAGACCATTTGGCCAATCGAATCTGCACCAACCCAGATCCAGATCCAGACCCAGACCCAGTCCCATACCCTATTCATGTAACCTTGCAGGCACCATGGCTAAGCCACCTAGCCTGCACATCTCTAGACACTACAGGGCAATTTAGCATGGCCAATCCACCTAAGGGGAGAACATGCAGACCACACGCAGTCACCTGAGGCTGGAATCAAACTCAGGTCCCTGGCATTGTGGTAAGTAGCACTGATAACCCTGAGCCACTTTGCTGGCCAGAGAACTGAATTTAAATTCCATCAGCTGCCATACTGAGATTTGATCCTATGCTCCAACAGCATTAGCCTGCGCCTCTGAATTACTCGTCTAGTAACATTACCACTGTGGCACCATCTCTGTGGCTGAGAATTCCACAGGCTCACCACTCTCTGGGTGAAGAAATTTCTCCTCATCTCAGTCCTAAATGGACTACGCCCTGTCCTTTGATTGTGACTGCTGATTCTGGACTCCCTTATCATCAGGTACATCCTTTCTGCATTTAGCCTGTCTAGTCCTTGTTGAATGTTAAAGGTTTTTATGTATGCAATCCCCCCTCATTCTTCTAAATGTCAGTATTGTCCTGACTGATCCAGTCTCTCTTTACACATCAGTCCTGGAATCAGTTTCATAAACTTTTGCTGCACTTCACTATAAACCTTCCTCAGATAAGGAGACCAAAAATGCACACAATACTTCAAGTGTTGTCTCACCAAGGCCCTACGCAAATGCAGCAAAATATCCCTGCTCCAATACTTGAATCCTCTCGCTATGAGAGTCTATATACCATTCGCTTTCTTCACCGCCAGCTGCTCCTGCATGCTTATTTTCAGTGACTGGTGTATAAGGGCATCCAGGTCTTGTTCCACTTCCCCCTTTCCCAATCTGTTGCTGTTCTGATAAACACCAACATTCCAGCAACAAAGAAACCACATGCAATGTGCCCCAACGATTACCGACTGTGGCCCTGACCTCCATAACTATGAAGTGCTACAAGAGGTTAGTCCTGGCTCACATTAACTCTCACCTCTCAGCCTGCCTCGATCCCTTGCAATTTGCCTACCGGCACAACAGGTCCTACACTCACCCCTGGAACTTCTGGATAATAATAATAATACCTATGTCAGGCTTCTAATTATTGACTTTCAACACTATAATCCCAACAAACTAATCTCCAAACTCGGCTCTGCCCTCTGCAACTGGATCCTTTTCTTCCTGACACACAGACTGCAATCAGGAAAGATAGAGAACAGTATCTCCTCCACAATAATCCTCAACACCAACGCCCCACAAAGATGCGTTATTAGCCACCTACTATACTCCCTGTACATTCACTCTGTGGCGAAATTTCATCCCAACGCCATCTACAAATTCATTAATGACACCACTGTTGTAGGCCGAATATCAAACGAGTCACAATACAGGAAGGAAATAGAATGCTTGGCGGCTTATGCAAAGGCAACAATCTCTCCCTCAATATCAGCAAGTCTCAAGAACTAAACATTGACTTCAGGAAGAAAGGAGGTGGGCGCATGCTTATCTACGTCAATGGAGCTGAGATGGAGAGAGTAAAGAGTGTAAAATTCCTAGGAGTGACGTTAACCAACAATCAGTCCTGGTCCTCTCAGGTAGATGTGGTGATCAAGAAGGCACAGCAATACCTTTTCTTCCTCTGGAGGCTAAGAAAATTTGGCATGTCCATAAGGACCTTCACCAACTTTTACAGATGCAGCTCAGAAAGCATTCTATCCGAGTGCATCATGGCTTGGTGTGGCAACTGCTCTGCCCAGGACCGTAAGAAACTACAGAAACTGTCGACCAAGCTCAGAAGAGCATGCAAGCCAACCTCTCATCCGTGGACTCCATCTGCACTTCTGTTGCCACGAAAAGGCAACCAACATCGTCAAAGACCCCTCCCACCCCGGTTATACTCTCTACCAAACTCTTCTGTCAGACAGAAAATACAGAGGCTTAAACACATGGACCAACAGGTTCAAGAATAGCTTCTTCCCGGCTGTTATTAGACTGCTGAATGGACCTCTCAAATTTCAAATCTAATGTTGATCTCACATTTATCCACCTGATACATCATCTGCCATGTATTTACCCACTCACTCAACTGGTCCAAATTGCACTGAAGCATCTCTGCATCCTCCTCACAGTTCACCTTCCCACCCACCTTTGTGTCATCTGCAAACCTGGAGATATTATGCTTACCTCCCTTGTCGAAATCAATAATTTATATTGTGTATAGCTGGAGTATAAGCACTGATGCCTGCAGTACCCCACTATTTGGCTGCCACTTGTAAAAAGACCCATTTATTCCTACCCTGTTTCCTATCTGCCAAGCAGCCCATGTCAGTACACTACAACCAATCCCAATGCTCTTTAGGTTTACACATAAATCTTCCATGTGCAACATTATCAAAGGCTTTCTGAAAGTCCAAGTCAAACATATCCACTTATGAATTCCCCCTTATGAATTTTATAATCTCCCTTTCCTAATTCATTTGGACTCTCTCCAATCCTGTCACTGTTTTCCAAGTTTATTAAATCTTTTGTAACGGAGTCTAGCAATTTTCCCACTGCTGATGTCATACTAACTTGTCTATAATTCCTTGTTTTCTCTCTACCCCCTTTTTAAATAATATTAAAAGATTATTACCAAAGTGTCCACTATTTCTTGAACTGTTTCTTTAAGTATGTAGATTATTAGGCCCTGGAGATTTATTGGCGTTCAATCCCATCAATTTCCTCAATACTATTTCCCTACCATACTACTTTTCTTCATTTCCTTCCTCCCTCTACACCCTATGTTCCCCAAAGCTTTTTTGAGATGCTATTTTTTGAAGACAGAGCTAAAGTATGTACCTAATTGATCTGCCATCTCTTTGTTCCCATTGTAAGTTCTCCTGTTTCTGATCGTAAGGGACCTACATTTGTCGTCATTAATCTTTTTCTCTTCACATATTATGCAGTTAATGGTAGGGCCCTGGTCGTTGTCGCTGAATAAAGAGACCTGGGGTACAGGTGCATATTTACTTGAAAGTGGAGTCGCAGGTAGACAGGGTGTTGAAGAAGGCATTTGATACTCATGCTTTTATTGGTTAGTGCATTGAGCATAGGAGTAGGGATGTCATGTTGTGGCTGCTCAGGACATCAGAAAGGCCACTGTTAGAATACGGTGTACAGTTCAGGTCACAGAATGTTGAAGAATGTTGTTAAAATTGAGAGGATGCAGAAAAGATTTACAAGGTTGTTGCTGGGACTGAAGGGTTTGAGATATAGGGAGAGGCTGAATGGGCTGGAGCTGTTTTCACTGGAGCGTCAGAGGCTGAGGGGAGACTTTATAGAAGTTGATAAAATCATAAGGAGCACAGATAAGGTGATTAGCCAAGTCTTTTTCCTAGGGTGGGGGCATCCAAAACTTAAGGGCACAGGTTTAAGGTGAGAGGGGAAAGATTCAAAAAGGACGGGAAGGGTAACTTTTTCACGCAAAGGATGGTGCATGTATGGAATGAGCTGGCAAAGGAAGTGGTGGAGATGGGTACAATTACATTTAAAAAGCATCTGGATAGGTACATGAATAGGAAGGGTTTAGAGGGATATGGGCCAAATGATGGCAAATGGGACTAGGGCAGATCGCATGGGTCCATTGGACCGGATTGTCTATTCCCATGCTCTGACTCTGCATCAATAAGAGATTTAACATTGTTTGTTTGTTCCTCACAAGCTTACTTTTGTATTCTAATTTTCCCCTCTTCACCAATCACTTTGTCCTCCTTTGCTAAAATCAAATCTTATCCCAGTCCTCAGGTCTGCTGCTTTTCTTGGTGAATTTGTACACCCTTTCTTTGGATTTAACATAATCCCGAATTTCCTTTGCATGTCATGGTCGGGCCACCTTCCCTATTTAATTCAGGCCAGACGGGAATGAACAATTGCTGCAGTTCATCCATGCACTCTTAAATGTTTGTTATTGGCTATCCACTGTCATTCCTTTAAATTTATCATAGCTAGCTCACACCTCATACCATTGTAAACTCCTTTATTTAGATTCAGGACCTTAGTCTCAGAATCAACTATGTCATTCTCCCATTTCTGCTCCTTTGTGTTTCTGAGCTGTACCCATAGAGATTCTACTTCACTGAAGATAATATCCTTCCTCACTATTGCATGAATTTTCTTTAACCAATAATGCTACCCTACCTTCTTTTCCTTTTTATCTGTCTTTCCTAAAGTTCCCATCCCTTGTTACCCTGCATCCACATTTCTGTAATCCCAAATATATCATATCCGTTCACAGCAACAACTAATTCATCCACTTTACAGTGATTGTGTATTAAAACATAAGGTCTTAAGGTTTATCTTCTTAATTTTCTTCAACCCATTCACATTATTCTACAATGGCCTTGGTTGATTCCTGCTCGAATTCTCTACCTATGTCTTTTCTTATTACCCATTCATCTTTTGTTTTTGCTCTGCTTTCCTGCCTTCTGTCTGCCTGTTAAACCCTCCCCAACATCTAATCTTCATATGAAGATGGGAAAGGTCACTCATCGTCATGTGTAGCTGTCCTGTGGTCACTGGCTAGCAGGATTCAAATGAATGATTAATACAGTATAAACTACCAGCTCCGAGATATCAGGTATATCAACATGTTTTCAGGGTCTCAGTGGATGGTTCTTGTCAGGCGGTCCTTGTAGGGGCAGTCTGCATCAGGGAGCTGTTTTCTTCAGAAGGAAGATGGACTTGAAGAGATGGAGGGATGGCCCAGAGAAGAGTTCCCTAACACTTTAGCCAGAGAGCAGGACGCTGCCTTCACAACTTTAATGAAATTGACACATTCCATGCCGACTGCCTGTTTTCTGGTATCAGTGAACCATTCTCAATTGTCATGGGTCGTATATTGTTTAATTCACTAATGTATCATATCTAAACTGCTGTTTCGTAACAATCTTAACAAAATTCTTTACAAATGGTCAATATTTTGGTAACTGTGATTGCCCACCCCTGAAAATCAACATTCGGCCAAACACACCATCTAGGCAACAGAACTATACATAAATATAGATGGTACACCTTCTTGCTTTTAGTTGTCTAGATATTGCTTCTACATGATGAATATATAATGGCAGTGTCGATTAATCCAACTGATGGAACTAGAGTTTACTTATCTTAGTGACTACAGATGTGTTTTGGTGGCTAAATGCACTGGTCTTGCAAAGAGGCAATTGGATCCAATACAGTCTAACATTCTAGAAGAAGCATTTCTTAAATTTATACAAACCATTGCAGTCAGCACATAAGTTAGAGGTTCATCAGTTTTAATTTAAGCAAATGAAAAGCTCAACAGGAGAAAAACAGCCAGCCTCGTGAAATTTGTACCATTCCTTTTCTAAAAAATACAAAATACAATTGTTCATAGAGGATGAAAATAGCGCATTTTCAATATTTTAAACATTTTAATTGTGGAGTATAGCACCTTTAGTAAAGGATATCTGCACATGCCTGTGAAATCTGAACCAATTAGCACAATCAGAACTCACCAGGAGGAAGCTCTTTCTACAGAGGTTTTAAAATATACCTTGTACATAACAATAAAAATCATAAAATTAATTCTCCGAACATGCTGGTGGCACTTATGCACAAGGCCCTTAAACAACGTAAACACCTATTATTTGCTGTATTTGCTTTCTCTTTGTCCACGAGACATGGACATTGTCTGTCCTAAATACCCTCGGGAAGGTGATGGTGAGCCGCCTTCTTGAACCATTGCAGGTCTTGGGGTGCAGATAGGAAGGGAAATAACATCCCGAAGCTTAGAGGCAATTAATAATTCAACCAATGTATTTGCTCTTTCTGCATTTGTAACTTTTGATTCATATACACTATTTAATTTCAGCATTCTCTTAAATTTTCAAATATCACGTGAAAGCTAATATTTAGAATGTTCTCATCCTCACTAGTTACTCAAATTCATTTTGTTGATGCATCTCCGAGACTGTGAATGAGGCAGTCCAGCCATGTATATCATGCCTCTCTGCACTCAATATGGGTGAGACCCAGAGGTTTGCCCACTAGTAGTCAGTGACTGGTGAACTTCACCCTTCTAGTCAGGTTCAAGAATTGACTATCAAATAAAGTTCAAGTTCAAATTTAGCTCTTTTAGATATAACTGTCTTCATTCATGATTAGGCCACAATGTTTAATCTGCAACTTCTGCTAGATTATCATCACTTCAAGCAAAAATATTCCTGTTACAATTCATCACAAGAAAATGTAAAGGAAAACACTAGTCACTGATCTAGGTTTGCAGGTCACGTAAAATTGTCACACTCTTGGACTTAGTTACATGCAAAAAATTTAAAAAACTCTTGGTCACTAAAAGGCAAAGAATGAAAAACAATCAGAATACTAGTCTGGAGCTGGAGGAACACAGCAGGCCAGGCAGCTTCACAGGAGCAGGAAAGCTGGCGTTTCAGGTCAGCACCCTTCGACAGAAAATGGTCCTGACCCGAAACATCAGCTTTCCTGCTCCTCTGATGCTGCCTGGCCTGCTGTGTTCCTCCAGCTCCAAACTGTGTTATCTCTGACTCCAGCATCTGTAGTTCTTACTATCTCAGAATGCTAGTCTCTCAGTTTCTTGTTTTTCACATGATTTGTGTCTGAATTTTATGAAATTAGATGATTCATTGCTATAAAAAACAATTTAATAAATTTTAGCAATGCAAAAGTCACAAAAGCACCAGTGAATCTTTACCAATCACCGTACTGGAACAGCTTATTATCAGGTGCAGGACAGAGCTTTCTATCCACAAAATTCATTTATGTGATGTTGGGAGATGCTTCTCCTACAGAGAATCTGGAAAAACAGGACAAAGCACACAGAAAACACAGTAAAGTAAAACTGGAGAGAATTCTACTGGCACATGATATTGTGCAAATGTATACTTAATTGTGGGATGTAGGTGTCAATGGCAAGGGCAGCATCTGTCACCTTACTGTTCTTAAGAAGGTGGTGATGAGTAACGTTCACGAACTGGTTTAGTCCTTCTGGTGCATGGACACCCACAGTACTCTTAGGGAAGGAGTGCCAGGATTTTGACCCAGCAACAATGAAGGAACAGCGATATGGTTCCAAATCAGGATGGTGTGTGGCTTAGGGGCAAACTTGCAGATGGTGGTGGTACTCCCACGCATCTGATGCCTGTGCTTCTAGGTAGGGATTGCAAATTTCAAAGATGCTGTTGAGGAGCCATGGTGAGTTGCTGCAGTGCATCTTGTAGATAGTATACACTGCTGCCACGGTGTGTCAGTAGTGAACGGATGGATATTTAAATTGGTGGATGGGGTACAATTCACTGGTTTACATCCAGCAGTCTTTCAATGTATTTTCAATCATCTCTTTTCTGGAGGTGTAAGGAGCATGTTTCAATCTGAACCAATGCTTTGGGAACAGATTTCCATTTGTTGCATACATTTCCACTCCTTTTTTACCCAGTAGAAAACGAAATGTTCTATTCCGTGCAAGTACTTTATCGTAAAACTCAATGCCTCCCTCTGCATAGTTCTTTGATATTGTAGCTGTGCGATGGTCTGATCGATAGTCAAGCCAGTGACTAACTGTATCAGAAAGAAGAAAGTAACCTACAAGTCCCATTGCTGCTACAACCAAGTTGTAAAAGCCACGTACCAATACAGGACTGGCGTATAGGCCTAGGGCTTGTTTTGCTGCTACCCCAGTCAGGTATGTGCCCGCTAAACAGACTGATCCCACCAGTGAATAAATAACGGGGCTGTTACTCTGCAAATACTTAATTTCTCGTGCTATGGCAAACTTCTGTGCATCAAGTGAAAAGGTGAGGGATTCCCTTAGGGCTTTTCCCACCTCACTGTCCCAGTTGATGTCTCTGCCATTGATCATGACAATTCGATTGGTTATCCCTTTTCCTTCGTCATCTGTGCTGTTGAAATTGACAGGGATGCCAACGATGACACCAGCCGGTAACCAAGGAACACCTGCACTCACTGGCTGAAAGCTGAAAGCGGCAAACGCTGTGTAATTCTGTGCTGAATCCACCCCAGCATCTTTAAGAACCTCTTGAAAAGTATCTTGCAACTTGTCTGAAAGTTGAGCAGGGACTCCTCTTGACCAAGCTTGGTACAACTTTCCATATGTCCGTTGGGGGAAAACATGGCAGAAGGCATTGGTGACAAATAGCCCTCCGCAGGAAACAGCCAGCAACTTTAATCTATGCCTGGTGGCAAATACAGTAAGTTTCCTAACAAATTGACTTGCCATCATCCAAGATTATGTACAAGAGTGTATATCTGTAAGAGAAAAGATAACATTGAGACAGGAGCTGTCAGTTTGATTTCTCAGCTATGTGTTTACAGCCCCTCTACCAAATGATCATTTTGATAGTTTCAATTTTTCTGCTACCACAAACGTTTGAGAAAGGCCCAAATTTCTAACATGAATAGGGAAATAAACACTCCCTGACATACCACCTAAATGGCCTCACTCAAATTTCTGATCACTTGCCCATAATTTGATTTCTTCAAAAAACAATTAATTTCTCTGTATCTACCCTCAACATTTGAAACAACTCAATCAGATCACTCTACAAACTTGTTTTCATTACAAATGGGGACTGGTGTCGCTGGCAAAGTTAGCAATTATTACTTATCCCTAATTGCCCTTGAGAAGATGGTTGAATAAGTTAACTCCATACCCAGAATAAAAAGACAAACTCAGAATATGCTAGATAAACTCAGCTGGACTGGCATCATCTGTGAGGGCAGAGAGAGACTTGGCGGGGGGGGACGGAAAGAGAGAAAAACACAGTTATTTCAAATCTAATATGGTTCTTCTTCAGAATTGAAGGCAGCTAGATAATGATGGATTTCATGTTTGGTGGTGATGGTGGATAAACTTTGTTCTCCATTTTGATTATAGTATGAAGCTGTTGAGTTCTTTGTTGATTCTTAAAGCTATAAAAGTGCCTAAGCAGAAAATTAGGTGCTATTTATTTGGGCTTCACTAGAACAACGCAACACACCTAGAACAGAATGTGATATTTTCTAGTCCCCTTCAGTTCTAAAGAAAAGTTCTGAGGAAGGGTCACTGGACCCAAAATGTTAACTCTGATTTTTCCTTCACAGATGCTGCCAGTCCTGCTGAGCTTTTCCAGCAACTTCTGTTTCTGTTCCTGATTTACAGCATCCATAGTTCTCTCGGTTTTAAAGAGATATGTTGGACACTGTATCTTTCACCACAGATGGCACCAAACCTGGCGAGTTTCTCCAGCAGATTTTGTTTCTATTTCAGATTTCCAATAGCTAAAATACTTTGGTTTTGTCTGAGGTCTGTACCTATTGGGGTTTTAGGAGAATGAGAGGTGATTTTATTGAAACATACAAAATCTTGGCAGTGGATTCCCAGTGGATGTTTCCGCTAGTGGGATTGGGGGAAGGGGCTCTAAAACTAGCTGACATTGTTTAAGAATAAGAGACTACTGTTTTAAGGGAGACAGGAGTAATGACCCTCAGAAGGTAGAGGTAGTGAAGTACTCAGGTACTTTGGTACTCAAGTACTCTGAGGTACTCAGAGGTAGTGAAGTTAGGGTCTTTACATTAATTCAAGGCTGAATTATATAGACTTCCAATAACCAAATGAATTATGTCTAGAGGACTGGAGCACAAGGATGCAGAAGTTATGTTGCAGTTATACAAAACCCTCTCAAGACTCCACTTAGAGTACAGTATGCAGATATGAAAATATATTGGCTTTGAAGCAAGTACAATGCAAGTTTACAAGAATGATACATGGACTTTAGGTGCTAAGTTATGAGGAGAGATCATTCAAATTAGGTCTGATTTCTCTAGAATTTAGAAGGTTAAAGGGTGACCAGATCGAAGTCTTCAAGATATTAACAGGTAAGACTGGGTATAAAGATAAACTATTTCCACTGGTTGAGGATTCTAGAACTAGGTGGCACAGTCTGACAATTAGGTCCAGACCATTCAGGAGAAATGTCAGGAAGCACTTCCACACAGGAAGTGTGATAGGTGTTTGGAACATTTTTCCACAAACTGAAGTGGATGCTGGACCAGGTGTTAAGTTTTAATCCGTGACGGATAAGTTGTTGTTCACTCACTTAAGGTATTAAGGGATATGGGCAAAATGTAGGTATATAGAGTCAGGCCACAGACCAACCATGATCTCACTGAAGGTGAGAATAGGCTAATAGGCCAAGGGTCTGAATGGTCTACTCCTGTTCCTATGTTCCTATATAAAGATTAATGACGTGCAGATAGAAAAGTGGAGATAGGACCACAAACAAATCAACCACAATCTTATTGACTAGTGAAGCAGGCTTAAAGGGCTAAATGGCCTGGTCCTCTGCCCACATACCACGAGTCGCCTTCTCAAACAATTGCAGTCTTTGTGCTATAAGTAAACCCACAGAGCTGTTAGGGAGTTCCAGGATTTTCACAGTGAGGGAATGGCAACGTGGTTGCAAGTCCGAATGGTATTTGGGTTATAGGGTGACTTGCAGGTGATATCATTCACATGCATCTGCTGCCCTTGTGGCAGAGGTCGTGAGTTTGGAAGGTTCAAAGGAAGGAGATTTGGTAAAAATCTCAAACCTAGCTAGTCCTCATCCAGCAATTGAGGGGGTGTCATTGGTAATGTCACTGGATTAGTAACTCAGAGTCCCAAGCTAATGTTCTGGATGCATGGATTTGAATCCTACCACGGCTGATGGTGAAATTTGAATTCAGTAAAAATCTAGAATAAAATGTTGGCACAATGGCAACTGCATAACCACCGTAAAATTTCACACAGTTCACTAATGTTCTTCACGGCTAGGAATCTACTGCCTTTGACTTACATGTGACACCATGCCTACAGTAACGTAGTTGACTCTCAAAATGACCTCAAGGTTATTGGGGATGGCTTAGTACTGATCCCACTGAACAGCAGAGCTGCCTCAAAGAGCTGAGTGGCCTACTCTTGCACCACATTCGTAACTATTTTTCTCTCCATACATGCTGCCAGCCCTGCCATGTTTCTCTAGCATTTTCTGTGTTTGTTTAAGATTTCCAGCATCCTCATTGTTTCTGCTTTAACTTGGAAGGACCAAATGACTAACTTCTGCTTCCTAAGTGCTATGTACCCCCTTCTTGAACCACAGCAATCCATGGGGTAGGGTCACCCAGTGGTGCCACTAGGGAGTTCCAGGATCCTGACTCAGTGATGGCAAGGGAACAGCAATGTGGTTCCAAGTCAGCGTGCCCACATCCCATGAGCAAATAATAACTTATAATTAAACAGGTTAAAACACACCGGTGTGAACACTCTGGGTGGATCTCCAGTACATCAACTCCATCATCCACCCCATTCCAAACTCTTCCCAAAAACTCCAACGAGTAGAGGTTTGAGGGAATTAAATAACCTGCACAGTGGCTCAGTGTTAGCACTGCTGCCTCAGAGCACCAGGGACCTGGGTTCAATGCCACCCTCGAGCGACTGTCTGTGTGGATTATGCACATTCTCCCCATATCTGTGTGGGTTTCCTCCGGGTGCTCCGGTTTCCTCCCATAGTCCAAAGATGTGCAGGTTAGGTGGACTAGCCATGCTAAGTTGCCCACAGTGCCCAGGGATGTGTAGGTTAGGTGGACTAGAGATGGGGAATGCAGGGTTACAGGGACAGGGTAAGGGGAGTGGGCTTGTCTTTGGAGGGTCAGTGTGGACTCGCTGGGCCGAACGGCCTGCTTCCACACTGTAGGGATTCTACAACTGAAAACATGCACCTGTGAAAGAAATATTATTCTTTTTCCTGTGCCCCCAAATGAAAGGCGAGCAGTAAACCAGAGGCAGGTCAGACCCTCAACACACCCCCAACCCCAGGTGCTTGCTCCCTTTTATGGTCACCCCGGGATACACTTCACCAGAAAGAGGATAGTGACAGACATTTTTTGCCCACTGACAACCCCCTCCCCGGCAGAGACAGCGTTCCCCACTTGCTCTCGGATTGTTTTTTTCTTTTTACCTCAGACTCCAGGAAAACCTCAAACACAGACCGGCTTTTCCTTTCACCCCTTCGTCGTTTACGACACTTTCCAGCAGCTGCTCCCAGAATACGGCGGACTTCAGGTCGTTGGTCTCAGTCGTCGGGCATGAAACTGCCGGTGTCGCCATCTTTGTAAAGGTACGAAAGTGAACGGTCATGAAGGGGTGGATCGATGAGCGTCCATCTTTGTAATAGACAGTCGACTGGCAGAGTCAATCAGCAGCTATGTTTGTAGACTCCATAAGCGGCCATCTTTGTGAGGTAGAGCCCATTAGCAGCCATTTCTGTACAGTCAATAACCTTTTTGGTAAAGAACAATAGGGTTAATGTGTTAATATTTGTATACTGGGATTCAGTTTGTGGGAGGAATTGAGTTAAAAAAGTAAAATAGTTTAAAAAATTCATCCATTCATCTAGACTCCTCACACAGACCCAAAGGCATATTGTATCTTCTGCCCCGGTTAATGTAATTTTCCTTTGCAGCTGGTGGACATTGAAAATCTGAAATCAGAGCTGAAAATGCTGGAAATACTCAACAAGTCTATCTTTCCCAGCCTTACATACATACAAGAACTCTGCCCCATAGCTTTACATGGCAGGAATGTCAAAGACTTACAACCCTCTGGGAAAAGAATTTCCCCTTCAACTCAGTCTTAACAATTATGCCCTTTTTTTCCCGAAGGCTATGGCCTCTGGTATTAGACTCTCCCATGAGAGGAAACATCATCTCTCCATTTACCCTATTAAGCCCCTTAAAAATCCAATCCAGTGAGTACAGACCCAACCTGTTTAGCCTTTGCTCATAAAACAGTCTCTCCATACCAGGAATCATCAGAGTGAAACTTCTCTGAACTGCCTGCAAAGGAATGATCCTTAAATAAAGGAACCAAAACTGCTCATAATATTCCAAATGAGGTATAATCAGCACCTTGTACAGTTACAGTAAGACTTCCTGACTCATACTCCAATCCCCTTTGAAACAAGGTCCACTATTTCCATTAGATTCTAGACTGCCTGTTGCACCTGTGTGCTACCTGTAGTGATTGTAATGAGGTCAGAAGTCATCAACATGAAGTTATAGTCCAACAGGTTTTTTTTTTGAAATCACAAGCTTTCAGAGAGCTGCTGCTTCATCAAGTGAAGCGAAGAGACCTGTTGGACTCTAACCTGCTGTTGTGTGACTTCTGACCTTGTCCATCCCAGTCCAACATGAGCACCTCCACATCATGTAATGAGGTCAGCCAGGTGGACCTCATGGAATATGAGCTCCCCGATTGGGGCTTTTAATCTGCTCCAATTAGGGAGCCTAGTTGACAGATAGAAACAGGAATGTCAGAGGTTCTGTTCACTCTGAGAGCTGCTCTGAGGGAGCTGGATCTTTGTCAAGGACTTTCCATGCATAAATAAAGGGTGAGTTGGTGATGGGATACCAGCCTTTGTGGAGTTATTTTAGTGGCGACAAGAGAAAAGCACGGACCTGAAGAATTTTATTTGCAATATTCAGCTTTGAGTTGGGATAAGCACTTCTGGTACCATGCCATTACTTGGGAAGCTTGACTCATTCAATCTTGCCGTTGAAGTCTGGGCCCAGTATGTGGAAAGAATGTGTTATATTTTCAGGGCAAATGATACTGGGGCAGATGAAAAGCAATCGGTAATTCTCCTGACAGTTTGTGGACCTGCAGCTTTTTCGGTTATTAGGTGCCTAAATTTCCCTGAGGCGCCAGATAATAAAACCTTTCAAGAGTTGATGGATTTAGCTAAGGAATATTATTACCCCCAAGCCTCCTCTAATTCTGAAATGCTACCAGTTTTACCCATTAATTTGGAAACCAGGGTAATCCCTATCAGGATTTTTGCCAAGGTTAAGATGACTGGCAGAGACATGTGACTTTGGTTTAACCCTTAATGAGATGCTGAGACACCATTTGATTTGTGGGATTAATGATGTAGCCATACAAAAGCACCTAATAGCTGAAGCCCAACTGGATTTCAAACAGGCACTACAACTGGCGTTATCATTGAAAAATGCGGCAAGTGGAGCATGAGTTGCAGAGTATTCCAATGGAAGTGGACACCCTTGCCAGTCTGAGCTTGGGGAGCACCACTTGAGTGAAGGCAATTGCATAGTCTCACTCAAGACATATCCTGAACAGAGGGACTCTAGGCCCTTTAAAGCAACAAGGTCAGTCAACCAGTGATTGTAGTGAAAGGATCGGGCCCAAGCTTGATGGGGCAAAATTAGTTGAGAAAGATTCACCTAGATTGGCTCAACATTTTTTGATTGGAAAATGGCTGCCTGAGTAAAGTCCTAATGAAATACCCAGAAGTTTTTCAGGAAGGTCTAGGGACTGTCAAGGGAGCGAGGGCCACCTTGTTGACCAGGAAGCAATTCTACGAGAGCTGTCCAGTGCCATTTGCCTCACAGGCAAAAGTAGAGGCAGAAATCAGGATTCTGGAAAGCAAAGGAATCATTAAACCAGTCTAGTTTGCGGAATGGGCAGCACCAGTTATAGTGATTGTGAAACCCAATGGGTCGGCTTGCCTTTATGTGGATTTTAAACAAACGGTAAATTGCTTTTCGCAGCTGGATAAATACTTAATTCTTCTCATAAAGGATATATACGCAAAGCTGGCATGTATGCTTGTAATAAAAATGGACCACAAACCTCGGATTGGTCTACTTAAGGAGGTCAAGGCTGTGCCGCCCATAGCTTCAGGCCGAATTCAGCAGTGGGCTCTAATACTAAGTGCAAAAAGTTACAAGTTGGGACTGTTCAGGAGGCCAAGTAGCAACTGTGGATGTATTGAGCTGCCTTCCTCTGGCAGATACACCACCGGTGGTACCACCACTGGAAGAGTCTGTAACGGTTTTAAATTTTCTGGACACACTTCCAGTCACAGCTGACAATATTAGACTATGGAGGCAGAAAGATCCGGCAAAACTGAAACAGCTGGTGGTGATGGGGGGAAACCAAAGGGCTATCATAACCCGAATTGAAACATTTTTGGACCCAGAGAGACCAGATCACAGTTCTGAAGAAGGTTCACTGAACCCGAAGCGCTAACTCTGTTTACTCTCCATAGATTTTGCCTGACCTGCTGAGTTTTTCCAGCAATTTTTTGTTTCTGATTTCCAGCACCAACAGCTCTTAGTATTTGTTTTCTATAATTTCCATCTTCTGCCTTCCTACCTTCATAAACAGGGGTTACATTGGCCATTTCCTCTGGGATCCTCCCTGACTCCACCATGAAGACTGATGCAAAATACCAATTCAGTTCCTCATTACTACTTCTACAGCCTAATTTTCCAATGGTTCAATTTCCACTCTTGTCTCTCTCTTGCCTTTTCTAAATAAAAAAAAGACTCTTGCAATCTTCTTTTATATTACTAGCTAGTTTACCTTCATATTTCATCTTCTCCCTCTTTATTAGTTTTTGGTGATCCTCTATTGATTTTTAAAGGCTTCCCAATTGTCTTCATCTCATTAATCTTCACCACATTGTATGCTTTTTCTTTTACTCTTGTGCTATCCCTGACTTTCCTCATTAGTCTCATCCTCCCCTATGTATGTTTCTTCTTAGAGATGAATTTCTGCTTCTGAATTACCCCCAGAAACCATTGCTGCCCCACCATTTTCCCTGCTAGGCTTCCTTTTCAATCACCTCTGGCCACCTCCTCTCTCATGTGTTTGCAGTTATTTTGACTCAATTATAATACCCTTATGTCTGATTCCAGCTTCTCCCTCTCAAACTGCAGGGTGAATTCTATCATATTATGGTCACTGCCCCCTATGGGTTCCTTCACCTTAAGCTCCCTAATCAGGCCTGCCTCATTACACATCACCAAATCCAGAATTGGCTGTTCCCTAGTGGACTCTGTCACAAACTGCTCCAAAAAACCATCGCATAGAGATTCCACAAATTACTTTTCTTGAGATCTGATACCAACCTGATTTTCCCACTTTGCCTGCACATTGAAGCACCCCAACAATTATTGTAATAGTGTCTTTCTTGCATGCCTTTCCAATCTCCTAGTTTATTTTCTTCCCCACATCCTGACTACTGCTGGGTGGCCTGTACATACCTCCTATCAGGGTTTATTTTGTTTTGCCATTCCTTGACTCTACTCACACAGATTCTATGCCTTCTGACCCCATATTGCTTTGTTCTTTCGATTTAATTTCAGTTCTTACAAACAAGGCAACCTGAACCCCGCTGCTCATCCCTCTGTCCTTTGAATAGGATGCATATCCTTGGATATTTAGTTCTTAGCCCTGATCCCCTCGCAGCCACTTCTTTGTACCCTCCAATTTCAATCCGCACTTCAAGCTCACTTACCTTGTTTTGTTTTCTGCACATATTTAAGTACAACACCGTCACTCCTGCATTGACTGCCCCCCCTTTCTCATAGTTGCCCCCTTATCTGATGTGCCTGACGTTAGATTCCTGACCCTTTCCCTACTTTCTGTCTTATTACATGTTCTGGAAACTTTAATAAGCTTTCTTGAGCCCTCCTCCCCTTTAACTAGTTTAAAGTCTTTGTGACCAAAGTTCACCTCGATTTGCACCATCAGTTTGTCTTTCTTATTCCGAATGCTTTGTGCATTAGGATGCAAAGCCTTGAAGTGTTTTCTATTATTGAGTTTCCCTGCACTTAACTGGATAGTTGGTATAATATGACATTCACACATTCTGTCCTTTCCTTTTATTTTCTGGTAACAATCAATTCCATCACTTACCTGCAATCTCATTTTCTCTAATACCTTGGATTTTATAATTTTCCATGCAACTGAACCCACCTCCCGCAATTTAATTTAAAGGCCTACACAGCCCTGGTTATGTGATTTGCCAGGGCTCTGGTCCCAGCATGATTCAGGTACAGCCCGTGCCATCAGAACAGCTCCCTCCTTGCCCAGCACTGTTGCCAATGTCCCATGAATTTGAACCCATTTCTTCCACACCAATCTCTGAAGCATGTGTTTTTCCCTTTAATCTTGCTGACTGTGTAACAGTTAGCTCAGGTGGTAATCCAGGGCTTATTACCTATTGGTTCTGTTTTTTAATTTAGCCCCTAGCCTCTCATATTCCTTTAGCAGAATGTCTTTCCTCTTTCTGCCTATATTGT